GGCCTAGGGGTATTTTAAAGGGGTTTTAAATTAAATTTTTAGTAGAAGCGGCCAAATTTGAATAGTTATTTTTAATCTTTTTTAAATTTTGTATTGTACTGTACCATTGTTTTAAACTGGCTGTAAGCCGCCCTGAGTCCTCCGGGAGAAGGGCGGGGTATAAATTTAATAAAATCAAAATCAAAAATCAAAATCAAATAAAAGAGCCAAGGTTGCCTACCCCTGCCCTAAATTATAGTTTGCTTACAGAACAATCCATAGTTGGCTGGGTCTGTGCAATCTCTTAAACGGGGCTAAAGCAATAGCTGTGTTTGTGCACACTATGAAGCCCAAACTGGGTTTGTTTGGCTTTGGCTGGGGAATTCTGGGAGCCAAAGTCCACCAGTCTTAAAGTCACCCAGGTGGGAAACACCCCCCCCCCTCGCGCATTAAAATAATGTTTTTGAAAGTTGGTCAGTTGAAGCAGGCTGGACTTCAGCTGCCAGAATCCCCAGCCACAACCAAGCTCAGGACCCCCTTTCTTTGGGGACGGCGATAGGGATCAGATACAGGTAGTCCTCGACTTACAATCACAACGGAGCCCAAACTTTCTGTTGTTAAGCGAGACCTTGATTCAACGACTTTTGCCCCATTTGACAACTTGTCTTGCCTCACTTGTTAAGTGAATCATGCAGTTGGGAAGTTAGTAACCTGGTTGATAAGTGAATCGGGCTTCCCCATTGACTTTGCTTGTCAGGTGGCCAAAGGAGATCACGTGACTCCGGGACACAGCAGCCGTCATAAATAGGAACCAGTTGCCAAGTGTGCAAATTTTGATCACGTGACATGGGGATATTGCAGAGATCCGTCACTATGAAAATCGGCCCCAAGTCATTTTTTTTCAATGCTGTTATAACTTGGAATGTCACTAAACGAACAATTGAAAGTGGAGGACCCCTCTCTGTGTGTGTGTGTGTGTATGTATATATATATGTGTGTGTGTTGGGTGTACTAGTCTCCCATTTAACTCCTTGTCAGCCACAAAAAATTGAATATATATATTTAAATAAATTTTTAATCTCAGTGATCTGTGTTTTAGTTTTTGAATATGAATATTTAGTCATTTGGTTTTATATTGTCTAGGGGACGGCTCCTCCTATATTACTTCTCAGGTTTCTAAATTTCTTTTAAGAGCTGTAACTATTAGAGGAGAACGTTGTAATTCCCTTTAGCCAAGGCTTCTGGTGTTCGTTTGTGATATATTTTTCTTGTGTTTTCTTTTGTTGCACTTGCATTTTGGTCTGTGACCGCAAAATAAAAAATATTATTATTATTATTATTTGAATATGAATATATCTGAGACTCGCATCTTCAAGACTCCTGGGTATATCCACAGTAGTAAACAAAACGTGAGCACCAGGAGGTTGTAAAACAGTTAAAAGTTTTAATAAAACATTAAAAACCTTTAAAAGAATATTAAAAAGGACCTAGCTTTCGTTGGTATATATATACCATTTTATATATATATATAAACCCCAAGAACAGGAAGCAGGAACTCATTCCCTTGTCCACTTCAACTCCCAGAATCCCCCAGCGATCCCTTCTAAAAAAAAACAAAAAAAAAACATCAGGGGCGTTTCTTTCTTCACCGCCTCCTTTCATCCTCCTTTCCTAAAAGCAGGAACGGAAGAACGTGCGAAAGAAGGGAAGGCGAGGCAGCCTTCTTTTCCTCGGCCGGGCTGCAAAGCAAAAGCGGGCGAAGCGCGGGGCGGGCGCGTCCCCTTTAAGAGGGGCTTCCCCCCTCCCAGGAGTCATCGGGGGGAGGAGGAGGAGGAGGAGGAGGAGGGGGGGAGCTTTGCAAACCGAGGAAATCACGTGACCGCCAGTCTTGTGACCGGGCTGACTCCGCCGCCGCCGCCGCCCGCAGGCACAAAGCGCTGGGGGCTGCTCTTGCGGGCGACTCTCGCGCGGAGCTTCCTCCGGGGCGACCCCCGGGTGGACCCTCCACCCCACCCCACCCCATGCCCCGACGGCTCTCGCTGCAATTGCTGGCGGCTCCTCCTCCTCGGAGCCGCGTCGGGACCGAGCAGCGCTCCCGGGTCTGAGCCTCGCTCCCTCCCCCATCCTCTACCCCACCCGCTCCAGTTTTCTCTCCGGTCCGACGCCGACGCCGACGCCCCCCGCCCCCCGCTATGGACGGCAAGCCCTTGCTGCAGGACCGGCCGCCGCCCTACAGCCCCTACGGGCCGGTGGGCAACTACCCAGCCCATACCTACGGGGCCATCCCGCCGGCGCCGCCCTACCCGTTCCCCGCCGCGGGGACCGGACCAGGTGAGGGCAGGAAGGGGGTGGGTGGGTGGGTTTCCCCCCCCCCCCGCTCTGGGGTGTGTGTGTGTGTGTGTGTGTCTCCTTGCAAGAGGAGAGAAGGGGAGGGAGTGCCTCTGAGCGCGGGCAGAGCGCCTGTCCGGGCGGGGGAAGGGGAAGGAAGAGGCGAGTGGGTGGGGTCCCCGGACAGGATTTTACCCCGCTCTGGGGAGGGGGGGTGTCCCTCTTTGCAAGAGGAGAGAAGGTGTTGCCTGGGGAGAGAGTGCCTCTGAGCGCGGGCAGAGCGCCTCTCCGGACGTGGGGAGGGGAGGTAGGAGAGGGTTACCTGGGGTTTCGTTTCTCGCCTTGGGGGCGTGGCTTTCCGGCCTTGCCAGCTGGAGAAGGCGAAGCCCAGCTCTTACGAAAGGGGTGTGTGTGTGTGTGTGTGTTGAAGGCCACTCTCCTCCTCCTCCTCTTCCTCTTCCTCTTCCTCCTCAAGCCTGGCCTCGCCCTAGTCAACTTCAGCGGCCCGCGGGACTACAGCTCCCATCAAGCCCGGCGGGGGCGCCCTGTTGGCGAAGAGGGGTGGAGATGGGGCTTAGGGATGTTGGTTTGCTAGAGAGGAAGGAAGGAAGGAACATTAGTGGAGGGAGAGAGGAAAGAAGTTTGAACAAAGAAGGAAGGGTGAAAAAGGAAGAAAGTAAAGAGATAGTGGAAGAAGGGCAGGGGAGAGAGGAAGGAAGGAAGGAAGGAAGGAAGGAAGGAAGGAAGGAAGGAAATGGGAGAAAGCAGCCGGCTGGGTTGGGAGGAGGAATTTTTTTTGTCTCCCAAAAACTCCTACAAAGTTTTTTTCCCCTTCCCCCAACAAGGAACGCATTGTTGTTGTTGTTTCCTTAGCTTAAAAATTGGGGAACTTCAGTTCTGCTGACCAGACAGCAGCAATTCAGAGGCTTTCTGGATTTAAACTTGAAAAGAAAAAAGAAATGAAAAAAGATCTTGAGTAACATTGTTGAATCTGTGGTGATTCATTTGAGACTTTCAAGAGTGGGGGTTTTTTTTTTTGGGAGAAGTCTTTGTTTTATAGTCACTTCCTTAGATAAAAAAAAAACCCAACTATGGCTTTCAAAAATGAGGAAAGATCTTTTTTTCGTTAGGATCCACGGTGGCGGCTCAGAGGAAGGGCTCAAACAGCCCGTAGTTTGCTTGTGGTTTAGTGCAGGGTGTAAACTCGGCCAGCATAGCGCTATGTGCAAGGATTGCTCATCGTCTGTATTTTTATACCACCACACTTGCAAAGATTCGTGGAGTCTTAAAAGGAAGAATCCTCCCAGAAGTCATTAATAAATCATCAGCCTTACCAAAGAACAAACCATGGTTATGGTTTGGAAACCTGTACAAGCCAACTGGGTAGTGACTTACAGTGGTTTCTCAATCTTGGCAACTTTTAAAATGGGCGGACTTCAACTCCCAGAATTCCCCAGCCAGCCATAATAAGGCATCATCATCATCATCATCATCATAATGATAAAGTTGGAAGGGACCTTGGAGGTCATCTAGTCCAACCTCCTGCTCAGGCAGGAAACCCTATACCATTTCAGACAAATGGCTGTCCAGTTTCTTCTTTAAAACTTCCAGTGTTGGAGCATTCACCACTTCTGGAGGCAGGTTGTTCCACTGGTTAATTGTTCTCACTGTCAGGAAGTTTCTCCTTAGTTCTAGGTTGCTTCTCTCCTTGATTAGTTTCCACCCGTTGCTTCTTGTCCTGCCTTCAGGCGCTTTGGGGAATAGCCTGACTTTCTTTTCTTTGTGGCAGTCCCTGAGATATTGGAACACTTCCTCCCCATTTGGGGCTATTCATTAACTAACACCAACCTTTCCTACTACTGTATCCGGCGCAGAACCGTTTAGTCCGCCTACCACACTGACTTTGCTTTATCGTGGTTTGCTGAGTAAACCCCAATGGGCTGGGTTTGTGCCTCCCTTTAGAGTGGATGTCATAATTGTTTGAAGTTTGAAGACCTCTGTGTTAGATGCTAATGACCTCTGGGCCCTTCTATGGTCAAGGCATGGCTGAGGAATTCTGGGAGTTGAAGTCCACAAGTCATCAAAGGGCCAAGTTTGACGAGCCCTGCTCTAACAGGAGAATGAGCTCACTAGTTGCCTAGTATGTTGCTGTTAAGTGAAACATTTGTGAGCTTTCCCCCATTTTTACTACCTTTCTTGCCACGGTTGTTAAATGAATCACTGCAGTTAAGTTAGAGACACGGTTGTTAAGGAAATCTGACTCCCCCCCTTGACTTTGCTGGTCAGAAGGTCCCAAAAGCGGGTCACATGACCACCCGGGACACTGAGACCGTCGTAAATATGATGAGTCGGTTGCCAAGTGTTCTGAATTTTGATCATGTCACCACGGGGATGCTGTAATGGTCATAACTGGGAAAAACGGTCAACGGTCACTAAATGAACTGGATTACCTGCAGTGCCACAGGTGTACAAGCTTACACAACGGAGGAAGGAGGCAGAGGAGGTGGAGATGGGGAGGCTCACCAAAGAGTTTGCACAATCCCGGCCCTGTTAATGAGCCGTCCCACCACGTTCCTCTTATCCATTTTGTTTCTCTATCCAGGATACACAGCTCCTGCTGCTGCTTCACAGCCACATAACTATCCCAATACTACGTATACAATAATCCAGCAGCCCGCTTCCACCACATCTGTCATTGTTGTTGGTGGCTGCCCAGCTTGCAGGTAAGTTTTCCTTTTTTTTCGGGGGGCGGGGGGACCTGTTATTTTATGGGTAGTCCTCCACTCGTCACCCACAGTTGGGAATCAGAATTTCCGTCGCTAAGCTTTGCTTCCGTTGTGAAGTGAATGGAATCCGATTTGAAAAGCTTTTATTTGCCATAGTTGTTAAGCTATGTATCCCACTGTATCACTGCAGTGGTTAAATGAATCACACGGTCATTAAACGAATCCAGCTTCCCCCATCGGCTTTGCTGCTTGGAAGTTGGCAAATGGCAATCAGGTCACACCGGGACACTGCAACCGTCGTATATACATGCTGGTTTCTGGGCAGCTGAATTTTTGTCACGTGACTGTGGGGATGCTGCTATGGTCATGGGTGTGTGTACACCTGTCGTAAGTTACCTTTTTCGGTGCTGTTGCAAGTTTGAATGGTCGCTAAATGAATAGTTTTAAGTTGAGGACTGCCTGTATTTACCAAATGGAGTGGCTTATCAGGACAAGAGTAGAGTAGTGTAGAATAGAATAGAATAAGAAATAGAATAAGAAATAGGAATAGGAGCAGAGTAGTTGGAAGGGACCTTGGAGGTCTTCTAGTCCAACCTCCTGCTCAAGTAGGAGATCCTGTATCATTTCAGACAAGTGGCTGTCCAGTCTCTTCTCAAAAACCTCGAGTGATGAAGATTAATTGTTCCAGGTTAAGATCAACACCGTAGGCCACAAAATGGCTGCATTTGGTGCACTCTCCCGAATCTCACCAATTCACCTTGTCTTTAAAGACTTAACTGAAAAGCTGGAGTTTTTTTTTAAATTTCTTTCTAGAATCCTAGCAAGGTTGGGGCCATTTTTAGGTTTGGAGGAGTCCAAACGAAGCAAAATCATTGATCGTCCTACGGATAATATCCTGGAAGGAAAAAAGATGTTGATTTAGGGTGGCCAATAGGAATGTTCAGCTTTCTAGCTTTTTTTAGAAGAACGGCAACATGTCTGTGAGTTGGGCTCAAGTTCAAAGATTTACATTCATGTCTCTATGTTGGTTTCCGGGACGCTTTTCACTTCCTGGTCTGGCTTGTCAGCTCTGGGAGTCTCCGGGTTTCCCCCCCCCTCCAAGGATTAACCAGGCCTGACCCTGCTTAACGTCCCAGCTGGGAGAAAACATCCTGTTTTATCGTGGTGTATTTCCTTGCGTGCTGAGTTCTTTTCGTGGTGTGTCTTTTTAGCACAATTGCTGAGTCGAAACAAACTCGGTTAAGTAAACCGTCCTCCGTGCACGATGAATTAATTAAACCCCAAAGGGGTTTTTCTTGCAAATTTGAAATGTCTGTGGCTGTCTAAGCAGGACGTCCCAACTTTAAACCGGGCGTGTAAACATTCATTGTCTATTTTTAGATGGCCTTGGGAGGAGTAACTGTAAAGCATGGGAAAGTCACTCGGGTTTCCTCCCCCCCCCCAGCTAATTCTTACTGTATAACTAAGATTAGCAAGTACAATCATTTCTCTAAATGGAAAGTTTTACGGCGCTCTGCCTTCCCCTTAGCTGACCGAAGCTGTGATCGTCCTCACGAAGATAGTCAGCATTTCTGCAAGATTTAAAAGGCAGACAAATTACAGACAGACCTTGAGTTACGACTGGAATGTCTGTGGCCAAGCAACACAGCTGTCAAGTCAGCTGCACCCAATTTTGTGACCTCTTTTGCCGCGGTCACTAAGCAGATCGCGTCTTTAAGTGAATCCAACTTCACCCATTGTCGGAAGGTCGCAGAGGGTGAATCACGTGATCACGGGACCCTGTCTGAATTGGGATCCTGCCATGGCAGATCTTCCCCGCTAGCTTCCAACAAGCGAAGTCAATATGGGGAAGCCAGATCCGCTGAATGACCGTGTGTTTCACTTAACAACTGCAGTGATTCACTTAACCACTGTGGCCAAAAGTTGTAAAACGGGGCAAATCTCACTTAGCCGCCTTGCTTAGCAACAGAAATGATGGGTTGTGGTCGCTCAGCGGAGTATTCCCTGGGTAAAAACATGAAGTAGCCTTGTTTTCTCTCGCCCTGGAATTCTGGGAGTTGAAGTCCGCGCGTCTCAAAATGGCCGACGCTGAGGAAAAATCCACCCCCCAGAATGAAACGCCCAGTGTTCGTGTTTGTGCGTATTGCAGCACTCTGGGCCGATGTGTGTGTGTGCAACGCGTTGGGTTTCATTGCTTTGGTTTTAGCACACTGCCACTAACTTCCTCCTTTTTGTTGTGTGTTTTTTCCTTTTGCAGAGTCGGCGTCCTGGAAGACACTTTTACCTGCCTTGGCATTCTCTGCGCCATCTTTTTTTTCCCCGTCGGGATTATCTTTTGCCTCGCCTTGAGACAACGAACGTGTCCTAACTGCGGGGCCACGTTTGGTTAAGGGATCAGCCCCCCCCTCCCCATCTCACCCCGGAGGCTTTGAGGAGCTGTACCCCCTTTTTTTTCTAATGTAAATGTCATATACAATCAAGTCGATGCGTCGGAGCTGATTTTGTAAAAAAAAATAATAATACAATTATTACCAAGCACGGGCAGTCTTTCTCTTTTCATATGTGAAACTGATACTCAAGCACAGCTGTTATGAAGCACCCCGTTTTGGGGTTTTTGTGCTTTAAATGCATCTTTTTTGGGGGGGGGGATTTCAATAAAAGTGCTTTTTCAAACTTCACAAGGACGCCCAGCCTTTCCACCCGTTCTCCGAATTAAGAGAAAAATTTATTCCTATAAGAAGCGTTAATCTTGTTCAGTGGGCAGAGCGTAGACTCTCGGTGTCGGCCTTGAATCCATAGAGAGTAAAATTAAAAAAAAAAAGGCTGGTCTGAATTATGTAACAAAAGTTAATGCTGCTTTTGATGATTTATAGACTAAATATCAATAGTTCTTCTCAAACCAGGCTATAATTCAAATGCTATTTCTAGCAGCTCTGAGGAGCTCTGTAAAATATGGAGTGAATATGACAAATTTGTGCCATAAAAGAGAGCCACTTTGGTATCTGGCTAAGGCACCAGGCTAGAAACTGGGAGGTGGTGAGTTCTAGTTCTGCCTTAGGCTTGAAAGACAGTTGGGTGACTTTGGGCCAACCACCAGGAGGCAGTGAGTTCTAGACCCGCCTTAAGTATGAAAGCGAGCTGGGCGACCTTGGGCCAAAGACCAGGAGACGGTGAGTTCTAGTCCCACCTTAGCCACAAAGCCAGCGGGTGACCTTGGGCCAGTCACTTTCTCTCAGCCCTAGGATGGAAGAACAACAAACCACTTCTGAAAAATAAAGTGAAGGGACGTTTTCAGGCAGTGTCTGAAAAAGACACAATTGAACAGAAGAAAAAAATCCCTTTATTTAAGGCTTTCTGTCCAATGATCCACCATCAAAAAGGCTTTTTTCAGACAATCCTGTTAAACAGCATCCCATAAAGGAGAATATCTGTAGCTCAGGGTTAAAATGAGTCCCTGGTACTCTCTGAACTTGGTTGTTTTCTTGCAAATGTTTCGGTGTTGGCGCTGATGATGTTACTGGTTTGGGTAATGAAACGTCTGCCAGAGAACAGCCAAGCTTAGAGAGCGCCAAGGACCCCTCAAATAAAATCCTATTTAAAGGAAGAGAGAGTAATAGATTCGGCTTTTACGTACTGCAAACCAATGAAAGAATGTCCCGTTTTCTGATTAGAGTATTTTATTTATTACTGTATCCCTAAGGCATTTTATCGTAGCTTATGTAATGAAAATATTATTTGGCATGATAATTCTCTTAGGTCATCCTTAAACGGCTTGCCTGTTTAAAAAGCAGCTACTCGTATCCCTCTCTCTAAGTAAATTGTACAAGCAAAACTAAAACGGAACTGATCCACAGGATTAAACCACACCATTGGCACAAAACGTCTTAAAGCAGTGATGCTGGTAATAGAAGACTAAAGGATCAGATCTGCTGGTTTCTCTATTTGGCTATTTCTGCTTTCCTAAAGTTAATTCTGTCCTCCTAAACAAGGCACGCTGTAAAATCAAAGCAAAATCTGCAGCCATTCATAATTAGCAGAAACAAGAAGCCAAAAGAAGAGAAAAAAAAAAGCTCATTTAAAAAAGTCAAGAAACTTTGGCAATTTGCTGCTGCTGCTGTACATATTAATTAACATTTAAATAAAGGTTAAAAACAAAACTTCAGACAGTATTTGGAAATCATATTGCTGAAGACAGTATGGCCACCATCAACCAGGGGACCTTCCAGTTGCTGAGCTGGCGGCGAAGTCGGACCCATCTCAACGCAACACCTGAAGGACCGCAGGCTGGGGCAGGCTGTGCAATGTTGACAAGGTAGGATTAAAAAAAAAAAATCGGGGTTTTTTCAGTGCCGCTCATCGAAGGATTGGCGCCGATCTGTCGTTCGTGACTGTCGGTCGGAGTTTGACGGTTGCAAATGGGTTCTCGCCACTGTAAGAAAGCAGACACATGAGCGCACAAATAGAAGCGCAACGAGAAGGCTTGTGACAAAAAGCCCTATTATTTTTACAAGGGAAAAAGATGGTTTCAATCCATTTCCAAGAATGTGATTAGGACCACCTGAATGGTTCCAGAAGAAGACCTCATGGAAAGATAAACCAAGGCTGGTTTTGGGGTGTTATTTTTTTTTTGAGTTTGTTGCATGTTTTCAATGATATTGAATGATTCCAACTTACCTTAGGAAAGGTGGCTTCATAATGCCATTCATGTTAGGTTTCTGAGGAAGGAAAGAAAAGTCATAACTGCAGAGTACAGAAGAAAAGACAGCCATTCAAGCAAAAGGAATAAGCCGGAAGGGGACTTTAAATGTCTGACTGAGTACATTGGGGAGCCTGAAAATGTATGGACTTCAACTCCCAGAATTCCCTAGCCTGCATGTTGGGGTGCCTGAAGACATGTGAACTTCAACTCCCAGAATTCTCCAGCCAGGAAGTTGGGGAGCCCGAAGACGAGAAGATCTCAACTCCCAGAATTCCCCAGCCAGGAAGTTGGGGCACCGGAAGACATGGACTTCAGCTCCCAGAATTCATGGCTGGTTAGGGAATTCTGGGAGTTGGAAGCCCACACATTTTGAAGTTGCCAAGTGGGAAGTTGGAAAACTTTGACTTAAAAAACAGTCACACCGTCAACCATAATTTCTAGGCCTCTCCTGATCATAATCCCTGTACTTGGTAATTTTAGGCTAATGTTTTTGTATTTTTACTTGTATTTTAGTCCCTCGATGTAATATTTTATTTTTTTATTTTGAGTTTAGACTGATTGTTATTAGTTTTAGGACCCCCCCAAAAAAAGCAATAAACAAACAAGCGTTTGCAGGACAATCCTTCATAATCATTTCCGACTTTAAGAGCGGCAACTCTTTCATAAGCAATCCTTGTTTTGAATAATGAGGGTGTGATTCAGGGAAGTGTCTCGTCAGAGTGGGTTATGAATTCAAAGAGAGTCGATTTCCTCTTACTAATTTCACAATATCATTTCACTTTCACTAATGCCTAAAGTGCAATGGCTCCTGGAGACCAGAAGATGGCACCCTAGCTTTCCCGTTAGACCTAAGCATTATGGGTGGAGTTTTCGAACCTGACTTAACCGCGGCTTCCCCTGGCCTATCAATTTCATATTAACTCTTGAACAAACAGGAATTATAATATCTGAATTTATGAGCCTTCTCTCAGTTTCTCATAGGTTAGGGTTAGGGTGAAATGTCATCTTAAAAGTTTAAAACTTCATCTCAACCAAAGGTCTCTCGTTTGCTGCACGCAACACAAAATTTGAACCCACTTTTTCTGCTGCAAGGTGTAATTGTACTAACACTAACCAGTATAAGTGACACTACAATGCCAGCTTGTGAAATGCAACTGAAACAGGGGGATGAATATTTCCCCCCCAAAGTAATTGTTAACGTTTAAAAGAATGATATAACTGGCAAGTACAAAAAGTTTAAGTCCATCCCGGCGTTACTCAGGTCGCTGGATAAAACCCGTCAGCCAAAAGTATGTTCAAAAGCGGTGTTGTTTTATAGGACAAAACTGGTAAGGTTTACTTACAAGAGATGTGCTTTCTCCTTGAGCTGCTGTAGTTTTAGAAGTTTCAAGTTTTGGCTCTGAAGCTGGTTTGGTTTGCCCAGATATGACATAATCTGGTGGGGGAAGGATGGGGTTGTTTCTGTCCGTTAAGTTGCCCGAGCTAACGCTTCGGACGGGCGCAGGGCTAAAAGAAAAGAGAGCCACTGTTAAATCCCAACAAGAAGAGACAAATTCTTCAGCTCAGTTCTGAAGAGCTTCTATATATAACAAGCCAACATTACCTTGGAACTGGAATGCGCAAGGTCTCTTCTGACGGACCTTCAAAGAGCTTCGTATAAGAGGATGGGAACCAGCCTTTCCTAGAAGGCAATAGTGTAATAAATTACTGCTTTGTAGAAACCCTTAAGATAGGCTGTATACAATAAGAAAAGGTAATTGTGGGGTCCTTGGTGGTCTCTGAGCTTGGTTGTTTTCTTGCAGACGTTTTATGACTGCGCGCTAATGTTACCTAGTTTGGTAATGAAACGTCTGCAAGAAAAAAACCAAGGTCAGAAAGTACCAAGGATCCCACAGTCATTGTCCTCCTCCTCTTCCTTCTCCTCCTCCTTCTCCTCCTCCTCCCCCTCCTCCTCTCCACAAACCCCATTCCTCCTTTGGGGTAACAAATGAAGAAGTTTGGGAAGCACTGGCGTACACTTTTGTGACATCATGTTCTCCGTACAGCCACCCGTCCCTCTCCTCCGATACGAGAAGCGTGATGATGTCGCCCTGGGCGAAGCTAAGGAGGGTCTCATTATTTCCAGCGGTGTGCGGAAAGATGGTCTTAACTTTCTGACGCTTTATGATGTTCAGACCGGTGGCCATAGAGGTAGATCGCAATAAACTGGAATCATCTGCATGACATCACGAGAAAGGAGAACAGATAGAAAGCGGCGAGTGAAGTAACACGTCATTAATGGGATTCCACAGCAGAGAGCATCAAGCTAACAAATCAAAGCTGAAGATGCTCAGCCTAGCTTTTGCCTGGATTCTGGCCCTTTTACAGAGGCTTCTCACTGCTTCTCACTACAATCCATGCCTTCTGGGTGAAAGATTCTAGTTTAAATTTTTCCCAAAATCAATCAATCAATCAATCAATCAGTCAATCAGTCAGTCAGTCTGTCTGTCTGTCTGTCTGTCTGTCTGTCTGTCTGTCTGTCTGTCTGTCTGTCTACCTACCTACCATTCATCTCTGTAGTATAATAAATAGGTCGTCCTTACGACTGCAATTGAATCCATCCTTTCCATTGCTAAGCGAGTCAGTTGTTAAGTGAGTTTTGCTCCATTTAACGACCTTATTTGCTACTGTTGTTAAGTGAATCACAGCAGTTATTAAGTTAGTAACACGGTTGTTAAGCGAATCTGGCTTTCCCCCATTGACTTTGTTTGTCAGAAGGTCACAAAAGGGGATCACGTGACCCCGGGACACTGCAAACCGTCATAAATCTGAGTCAGTTGCCAAGCGTCCAAATTTTGATCACGTGACCAGGGGGATGCTGCAGCAGTTGTAAGTGCGAAAAATGGTCATAAGTCAATTTTTTTTCAGTGCTGTTGTAACCTAGAACGGCCGCTGGATGAACTGTTGTAAGACAAGGATTACCTGAACAGAATGTGACCACCTTGATGCATTGATAGGCGCCGTACTTACCTGCTGCGTTGCTTAATTTCTCGGAAGACATCTTTGGCACGACTGGTGGGTTGTTGAACATGTCCACTAAGGGACTGGTGTAGGCTCTCCCTGGGGGCGCTGGGGGCACCCGAGGAGAATGCCTTTGAAGGGAATCGTAATTATTTCCAATCTGCCAACCGAAAGTTAAAGCATCAGTGTTGTGAAGCAACGCACAAAGGCAGGATAAAATACTAGCAATTTTATTGACTTATTTTATCCAAACTGAATTGCTTCCTTTGAAAGGTTTTTCTCCTTATTTAGATCACTCGCCGGTTTCCCGGCTTGATTATATCCCAGAATAGATGGAAGATCAGCACAGGAATGAATGCAAACTAGACTGTATGTGTAGGGTAAAATCGGAGTTGCGAGTGCAGTTTGAGAAATTCATAAAGTAACAGGTGTGTTTCTGTGTGAGGTTTAAGGTGGCAGACTAGAAACTGGGAGATGGTGAGTTCTAATCCTGCCTTAGGCATGAAAGCCAGCTGAGTGACTTTGGGCCAATTACCAGGAAGTGGTGAGTTCTAGTCCCGCCTCAGGCCTGCTGGGTGACTTTGGGCCAATCACCAGGAGACGGTGAGTTCTAGTCTTGTCTTAGGCATGAAAGCTGGCTGAGTGACTTTGGGCCAATCACCAGGAGATGGTGAGTTCTAGTCCCGCCTCAGGCCTGCTGGGTGACTTTGTGCCAATCACCAGGAGACTGGGAGTTCTAGTCCTTCCTTATCCATAAAAGCCAGCTGGGTGACATTGAGCCTGTCCTTCCTCTCTCAGTCCAAGCCACCTCACAGGGCTGTTGTGGGGAAAAGAGGAAGAGGAAGGAGTAGTCTGTATATATTTACCGCCTATAAAGTAATAAAGCTGGGGTAAAATTCTAATAAGTAAATAATAAATTTATTTATTAAACAAATGCCTGCGCTGTACACTTAGGGCCACCAGGTTGACTTTTCTGCCCCCGTCTCTCACCAGGTTATTCCTCTCGATCATTGGGGAAGGCAGCGGAGTCCCCGATAGCGAAACGGATCCAGGCGTCTTGATCTCTTCTATCATATTCATGATGTTCGCTGGAACTTTGGTGGCGTCGCTGCAGGTTTCCAGCCAGCACGGCAACTTAGAGTTAAGTATCTCCGAACACTGCAAAGAACAGGACGAAAAATATAGAATTCATAAAGAGATAACAAGAAAACAAACACATGTAGTTTATGTGTTTTTTTTTAAAAAAAAGACGCTTCTCTTGAGCAAATCTAGACATTGGCTATGGTTTGGATTACACTTTTGTTCCACGAGGGCAATTTTTTTTTAAAACTGAGTTTGGGGACGCCTGTTTTCGGTGTGCTTGGAATACTGCAGCCAGTCTTGGTCACCACCTTACAAAAAAGATGTTGAGACTGTGGGAAAAAGTGCAGAGAAGAGCAACGAAGATGATGAAAGGCCTGGAGACTAAACCATAGGAAGAACGGTGGCAGGATTTGGGTTTGGCTAGTCTGGAGAAAAGAAGGACTAGGGGAGACATGATAGCAGTCTTCCAGTATCTGAGGGGCTGCCACCAAGAAGAGGGGGTCATGTTATTCACCAAAGCACCAGAGGGAAGGACGAGAAACAGTGGATGGAAACTCATCAAGGAGAGAAGCAACCTGGAATTAAGGAGACATTTCTTAACAGTGAGAACAATTAGCCAGTGGAACGGCTTGTCTCCAGAAGTTGTGGATGCTCCATCACTGGAATTTTTTAAGAAGAGACTGCACAGCCACTTGACTGGAATGGCAGAGGGTCTCCTGCTTGAGCAGGGGGTTGGACTAGAAGACCTCCAAGGTCCCTACCAGCTCTATTCTGATTGATTCAGGTCCATTCTTCCATACTCACCTCCACATGGTAATGGAACAAGCGTTGAGCAAAGCTGCAGTGCTTGTCCACCAGGAAACAAAATCTTTTCTTCTCTTCCAGCAAGGCCTCTCTGCAACCCTCCGCAATAAATTTTTGGATGTCGGTCTGTCGGGAGCTTACGGTTTCCACATACTAGACAAAGCACGAAAAGACCAGATTCAGACAACCACACAGGCACGCACCCTACGCTATTGGTTTAAGATGTTACCAGTCCGTTTTCTAGGAAATCCCATCTCAAGTCAAAAGTCCAATAATGAAACTATTTCATTTCGTTTTATTATTTTATTTTATTTTATGATTTTATTTTTATTTATTTTATATGCCACCCCACTCAACCAACCTAGAACTAAGGAGAAATCTTCTGACAGTGGGAACAATTAATCAGCAGAGTAAGTGGCCTTCAGACGTTGTGGGGGCTCCATCATTGGAAGTTTTTAAAATAGAGGCTGGACAGCCACCTGTCTGAAATGGTATGGGGTCTCCTGCTCAAGCAGGGGGCTGGACTAGAAGACCTCCAAGGTCCCTTCCAACTCTGTTATTCTGTTATTGATTTATTAAATTTATATGCCACCTCTCTCACTGATAAGACAGTTCTGGGGTGGCTATGATGCTGTAAAAAGATAAATGTGGAAACAATTAAAATTACAATCGTACACTGCTACTTTAAAAACTACAACCAATGAGATGGATGACATATTACATGTATTAAATAGTAAAGAGAAGCGAAATAAAAAAAATACAGTATTCATATTGTATAAGAAAGGCCTGGTAAACAGGGATTCTTGAGTTTAATGGCAGCTTCAATCTCTTAATTTTTCTCCGATAGAAGCGTGTGGTCCAGTCGCATTCTGCCACTCTGTATCAACATGCGTAATTACCATTTATCTTTCGACACAGGTATTCCCTTGATACAAACCTACACAATAGCCAATTAATTTTTCCGCGACAGGGGAATTATCTGTTGACGGGCAAAAAGGCTGTAAATATTCTTGCCGCGTCATGTGAAGAGAGACCAACTTTAGTCCGAGACACATGTTTTTAATCTTAAGGCACTTTGGAGTGCCCCAAGTAGAAGGAGGCAGGTTTGACTCCAGATTATAGGCGAATGGATGTCAACATTTCACTTCTCGCTCCCATTTTGGTTGAGCTTAGGGCAATGGAAGGAGGAGCAGGCGAATGTTATTGTTGGGTTGTCTGCATAAACAAAGAGCAGAGGTCAAAGTAACTCTGCTGTGCACATTCAAACAATCCTTGGTGTTTCTAAAAATAACCTCAATATCTCCATAAAAGCACTATCAATTGGTAGGGTTACAGGTGGTCCTTGACTAACAACGGTTCGTTTAGCAATCGCTCAAAGTTACAACAGCACCCAAAACAGTGACCGGTGACCAATTTTCACACTTGGGACCGTTGCAGCCTCCCCGCGGTCACGTGATCAAAATTCAGAAGTTTGGAAACTGACATGTACTTATGACAGTTGCAGTGTCCCAGGGTCACGTGATCCCCTTTTGCAACCTTCTGACAAGCAAAATCAATGGGGAAGCCGTATTCCCTTAACAACTGTGTTACTCATTTAACAACTGTCGTGATTCACTTAACAACTATGGCAAGAAAGGCTGTAAAATGGGGCAATATTCACTTAACAAATGCCTCACTTAGCGACATAAATTTGGGGCTCAATTGTGGTCACATGTCTAGACTACCTTGACAAAGCGATGTAAAAAAGAGGTTGAGACTCTAGAAAGAGGGCAGAGAAGACCAACAAAGATGATCAGGGGACTGGAGGCTAAAACATATAAGGAACGGTTGCTGGAATTGGGTATGTCTAGTCTAATGAAGAGAAGGACAAAGGGGGACATGATAGCAGTGTTCCAATATCTCAGGGGCTGCCCCAAAGAAGAGGGAGTCAAGCTATTCTCCAAAGCGCCTGAAGGCAGGACAAGAAGCAACGGATGGAAACTAACCAAGGAGAGAAGCAACCTAGAACTAAGGAGAAACTACCTGACAGTTAGAACAATTAACCAGTGGAACAACCTGCCCCCAGAAGCTGTGAATGCTCCAACACTGGAAGTTTTTAAGAAGAAACTGGACAGCCATTTGTCCAAAATGGTATAGGGTTTCCTGCCTGAGCAGGGGGTTGGACTAGATGACCTCCAAGGTCCCTTCCAACTTTATCATCATCATTATTATTATTATTACTACCTGTATTAAGACTAAAGAGGAATATTAATACCTCTAATAGCTAATGGTAAAGGAGACCAGAAAGGTTATTTATTCAAGTTACGGCGTAAAAGACACTAAATCACAAAAAGGAGCAGCCTCTTTAAAAAAAAAATTGAAGGGTTTGAATTTTAACAACCATGAAGTAAGCCCTCCTAACTTTCAAACTAACACGGGAAGGTAACTCAAGGGGGGAGTGCCAACCTCGCTTTCTTTATGTTCGTATTTGAAGGCGTTCCGTCCCCCTTGACTTTTCCGCCGGATTTTTTTCAGCTCCGCCTGAGATTTTTCCAAAGAATCCAACTTGCTTCGGTGTTCGGTCTGGTACCTCTTCAGAGTAGCCTGTCGGGAGAAAGTTCACACACCGGTCTTGTCGGAAGCCCATCGTGAGGTTGGGAATTTGGTATCGGCGTGTTCCTACTTAAGGGAGGGTGCTGACAAGGGCATGCTTTAAAAAAAAATAGATTTTTTTCCCTACAGTTCTGACACTGTAGGGCAGGGGTTCTCAACCTTGGCAACTTTAAGACTTGTGGACTTCAACTCCCAGAATTCCTCAGCCAGCTTTGCTGGCTGAGGAATTCTGGGAGTTGAAGTCCACAAGTCTTAAAGTTGCCAAGGTTGAGAACCCCTGCTGTAGGGAATAACAATATTACAGTCTATGAAGACATGCTTCAACCTGTTGACCGGCTACCCCAGAGGAACATTCACGAGAAACATTTATGAGTTTTTTTTTAATAGCTCTTCCTGTCTTCCTTTGTTTTATTTCTGCACTGAGATCTTATCTCATCTTTAGGCATAGAGATTTCTAACTTTGCTAACTGAAAAAAGAGATAGCTAAATTTGGTTGATGTCAAAGCAGGAGAACACTTGGCAGAAGGAACCAGAGAACGGATCCACAGCTTCTTCCAAACTTAAAACTATGTTATTCCGTTATTCGGTTGATTCTGAAAGTATTTCTGCTCGGTACCTTCATCTACACAAGAGGAACATGGAACTCATTTGCCAGTTGGCCTTGCTGGAGAGTAGCGGATTTTATACGACGCCTTGTAAATTGGGGATAGCCTTACTCAGAGACGGTTGACCTGACATAGTGTAACTCTTCTAACAAAAGTCAAAGAAGCTGTGGGAAACTTCTTGTTGAAAGATTAAACCATCTGAAAATCGACAGGGTGGTATCCTTAAAAATGTGGGTGTTGGCATTATTCAAAATTTCCTTTGAGCTAAGGTTACTCCCAGCAATATCTCAAATAGATCTAAGTTTCCCTTTTCTTCTGGTTTCCTGGTGGAGCCTACATGGCAGGTATCCAGGTAGCAAACAGATCTGACCTGGCTTAACATTTCCGAGTTCAACCGAGATTGGCTAAGTACTGCCACCTACTGAAATACTTAATGAGTAGTCTTTAGCAGCCTACCCTACTTGCAGTGAGCATTCTTGAAGTATAATTTTAGAGTCTACTTAGAGCAGTGGAGGTATCTCACCAAATATTTCTAGGATTGTATCTAGATCTTAAGAGATTTAATTTAAAACAGTGGTTCTTAACCTGTGGTCCGCAGACCCCTAGGGGTCCATGATTTCATCACGGTGGGGGTGGGTTTGCGAAGGCTTGAAAAAATGTTATATTTAAATCTTAAGTCTTGGGGGGGTCCATGAAGGCTTGAAAAAATGTTATGATTTAAATCTTGGGGTCCATGGCCACAAAAGGTATTTGAAGTGGGGTCGATGGTGAAGTAAAAGTTGAGAACCACTGGTTTAAGAATCCACATGATTTTGTAACAGTTAAGAACACATTTAAACCAAACTCATTGCTCATGTTCTAAACATGCACATAAACGTATGTCTAAACATAGTGACATACTGTAAATTCAATTTTGGTGATCTTTTGTTATTTACCAATATAACAAAAGGTTCAAAGGGGCAAAGTCTTACATTTAATTTTCTCCGGCACTGAAAAAAAAAATTATACACTTACATTCATATATTTTACATCTAGTTCAGTTTTCTTCTCCAGCTCCGATATAATCTCTTTATGGAATTTCTTGAACTGTAGTCATAAAAATGGGACAGAAGGGCGAGGAGGTTAGCATTTCTTCATGGGGAAATATTTGCACAATCTTTTAAAAGCAACCGCAGAGAAGATTTACTTACGTTTTCTTCTAGCCTGTCGTTGAGTTTCTTTTGAGCGATAGAAATCTCAATGAGGACGTGTCCTGTTGACAAACAAGATTAAATTTTATTTCTGGTTCCTTGAGCCCTTCAAAAAAGGAAGAAAGGGCAGCACAAGTCAAATATCTTGGGTTTTTTTTCTTAAAAAAAACCTCCTCGCCAAAAACAACAGAAGATGTTTGTAGGGATCCGGCCTTGGTTACGAGGAACTTTTTTTTTTTTTTGACAACAGTCCATTTTTACAGAAACAATAGCTCTTTCTAGACATTTAAAATAGACACTGAAATTTCCATCTTAAAAAAGACCCTATATATCCACTAACTTTTTTCTAATCGCTCTTTTTATTTTATTCAAAAAGTTAAAATACAAAATTCCAAAAACAGTTCTTTAAAAAAAAAAACAAATGAAGAAAAAACACAAAACGAGACATTAAAAAGTGCATTAAACAAGCTAGCACATTTACACACATTATCCCCCCCCCCCAGTTGAATACGGATTAATAGATTACAACAATAGTAGTTTCCCACCCCTTGCAAAACAGGCCAACCAAAACTTTACACCACTAAATCTATCTTGCAAATTGTTCACCTGTCGTCTATATTTATTATATTAACGAAAAAACAGTTAAGAAGAACGAGAATAACAGAAAAAGGCGAGATTGTAGTTTCAAAACTACAATCGTCACCACAATGTAAAAAAGAGGTCGAGACTCTGGAAAGAGTGCAGAGAAGAGCAACAAAGATGATCAGGGGACTGGAGGCTAAAATATACAAGGAACGTTTGCTGGAATTGGGTATGTCTAGTTTAATGAAGAGAAGGACGAGGGGGGACTGTGGGGATGCTGCAACAGTCTTCAGACTGAAAACGGGTCTTAAGTCCCTTTTTTCAGTGCAGTTGTAACTTTGAACAGTCACTAAACAAGCTGTTGTAACTCGAGAACCACCTGAGTGTAGTAGTCTATGCTTTAACTCCTCAGTCTCTTAAAATAGGACTGGCTCTGTCACCCAACTTGCAAATGAACAACAGGAATGCAACCAGGTGTGGCCCCGGCTTACAGCTATGCATGGATGGGTCCCACCTATTTAAATGGGACTTACACACCGGTTAACTACGGGAAGGCTTGGAGGCGGTGAGGTCATCGCCCCTTCCAGCTTCAGCATACCTACCTGTAGATAGAGTGAAGCAACGAGGAAACCCTCATTTGCAATGGAGAAGCTGAACGGCAGCCACAGCTCCACGGAGAGTAAAGCTTGTGGAAAGTGTGTGGCATTTAAGAGGGTTTTTTTTTTAACCTCCTAATTACGGCGACATAGTCAGTGCTTTGCAGAAGGTGCTGCTACAGCAACGCAACTAGCCCGGCGGCTCCGTTTGCCTAGATTAACGTGTCAGAATCGGGAACTTAACGATCTGGTGGTTTTAAAAGGGCTTTGCTGTCTCCACCCCTTGTACACGGATACGTATATGTGCAGGAAAACAATGAGTTTACCTGGGAGAGCAAGGTTGGGAAAAAAAACCTGCTATATACTGTTATTCTGGTCTCGCTGATTACTGCTATCGGAACGATAGAGAATGGGCAGCCTTCCTGGAAAATGTGTGTTTTTTTTTAAACACCCTTAACAGAATTAGAGCTGGGTGAAACCTCGGAGGTCTTCTAGTCTAACCCATTGCACAAGCAGGGGATTCCACACAGATAGTTCTCAACTTACAACTACAATTGATCCCAAGATTTTTGTTGTTAGGGTTAGGGTCGCAAAAGGGGATCGCGTGACCCCGGGAGGCTGCAACAGTCCCAAGTACATGCCAGTTGCCAAGCTTTTGAATTTTGATCACGTGACCGTGGGGAGGCTGCAACAGTCGCAGGTGAGAAAAACGGTCCCGTTGTAACTTTGAACAGTCACTAAACGAACGGTTGTAATTTGAGGGCTGCCGATAGTTACGAATATGTGTCGTTTTGTAAATTCCACATACTTCTATGCAAATACATAAAACCCACGCATAAAGGATTTATTAAAATTATACAAAAGACTTGGGGAACCTTCTAGACTTCTATATAACATGCGAAGCAGGATTGAATCAGTAACGCTAAATGTGTGAAATGGAGTATGAGCGCTGATGCTCGAGAAATAAAGACAAGCATTAGATTTTTAAGGAAGTGTTTTGACTAACAAATTAATTTGCATCAAATGAGGAGTTTTAGTGTCGTGAACTTTTTTTTCTCTCTCGCTGTGATTCAAGCCTTTAATCCTTTTTCTGGGCTGCAAGCCCTGAGATTTATATATTGCTCAACACAGCCTTGGATGAGCTGGCCCTGTGCTGAGAAACTGCTGAATAGGTTAGACTTGTCTTCTCCTACATGCATCCAAGACTTAAGCTCTTAAGCACCATGATTTAGAGTCTGTTGCCCTTGAAAAAACAAACTCAGTCAAAAAGCGATTTACTGACTTACTGGCAATACCTATAAACACCAGAAATGGATTGAATCCCTTGATTGATCAAAGTAACAGACTCACATGCTGGCTTGTTATCTTAACTTTGCTTTAATATTCCTATAAAAATGCGAGATTTTACTCTCGGTAGAAAAAACACCCTGTTTTGTATCGGAATGACACTCCTATCTAAGCGCCCTCCCTCTTCTCCCCCCCTATTGATTTATTTGTACACTCCTTACAGAATGTTTAGTAATTTTACATTGGGAACTTAAATCTCTATGCAGTTGACCAACCTCTTCTCTTCCACACCACTATTAGGGAAAGAATATCTGCAATTATGTGGAGGTTAAAAAGACAATTCCAGACTCATTGAAGAACGTGGAATCCCAATCGTAGGAGGAAAAAGATTTGGGAACGCTGGGAAAAGGACAGCAGAAATGTGATAGATAGATAGATAGATAGATAGATAGATAGATAGATAGATAGATAGATAGATAGATAGATAGATAGATAGATAGATAGATTAGAGCGAGAGAGAAAGAGAGAGAGAGAGATGATAGAGATGATAAATAGATTGATAGATGATAAATGATATAGATAGAAAGATAGATAGATAGATTAGAGAGAGAGAGATGATAGAGATGATAGATTGATAGATGATAAATGATATAGATAGAAAGATAGATAGATAGATTAGAGAGAGAGAGATGATAGAGATGATAGATTGATAGATGATAAATGATATAGATAGATAGATAGATAGATAGATAGATAGATAGATAGAATAGAGAAAGAGAGAAGATAGAGATGATAAATAGATTGATAGATGATAAATGATATAGATAGATAGACAGACAGAGACAGACAGGTGATAGAGATGATAAATGATATAGATAGATAGATAGATAGATAGATAGATAGATAGATAGATAGATAGATAGATAGATAGACAGAGACAGACAGATGATAGAGATGATAAATGAGATAAATAGACAGATATAGAGATGATAGATGATAAATTTGATAGATATAGATACAGAAGATAGAGATGATAGATAAATCGATTGATAGATGATAAATGATAGATAGATAGATAGATAGATAGATAGATAGATAGATAGATAGATAGATAGATAGATAGATAGATAGATAGATAGATAGACAGAGACAGACAGGTGATAGATGATAAATGATAGATAGATAGATAGATAGATAGATAGATAGATAGATAGAGATAGATAGATAGATAGATAGATAGATAGATAGATAGATAGATAGATATAGACAGACAGACAGACAGACAGACAGACAGACAGACTGATGATAAATGATGGATGATATAGATGATAAATGATATAGATAGATGATAAAGAGAGAGAGAGAGAGACAGAGGCTCTCTCCCCAAACAATAACCACCTTCCTAAAACAAAGGACCAGTCAACACAATTTCAACGGAATGACACACCTACAAGGCAAAAAGATACCCACTGATTTGATAACAAGCTAAATCACCGTCTGCCTGCCGGGGCTGAAGCGTTTCTTTTTTCTCTTTTGCTTTTTGCCAGAGGGTGCGACATTTCACACAACACTGCAGATGCATTCTAAAGGGGTGAGTGTGTGCTTTTGTGCAAGCTTATCTGTTTGTTGTGGGGCAACCAGGAGGTCAAAATATTCACCGGGGCTGTTCCGGTATTCCTATCCTGAACATCGTTTTGCACCTTGACGTTGAACCAAAAAGCCTTGGCTGGGCTGTTCTTAACCATGTTACACAGTCACAGTCATCGACCGTGTTCCTTGCAAACCTTTGGACCACGATTCCCCCCAGCAGCTCTTTCTTATTCCTCCTTGGCTGAGTGTGGAGGTTCTCAAAAGGAAGAAAGTGACCTTTGATTAGCTGATAATTAGAAACAGGATGTGGTTAAAATCTTGGAATTCCTCGCTGATGAATCTCAGGGGAAACCAACTGAAGATAAACTCTCTCAGTCTTGAGGGTGTCACAATGTAGACTAGTTCCTCCGGGCTGGAGGTGGTGGTGGGGATAGAGGATGAACTCATATCTCTTGAGGGGGTTCTTGTCCTGTCATGTTGCTTCTCTGTCTAGGCATCTGACTGGAGAAAGCACTGAAGTTCAGCAGCCTTAAAATGTTTTGGGTCTCAAGAGAATTTGATGACCGGTACAATATGGCAAAAATATCTTGTGTTTAGAAGAAATAAGAAGGAACAGAAGAGTAGACCGCGTCTCCTTGGCCAACATGGTGCCCTACGGAAGGGGAATGTACTCAACAGAAACCAGTGGAGTTGTAACACTAGCAAACATTTTATTGATCGCATCAGAGGCTTCATTAAAACAAAGCAAAAAATCGTAACTCCACACAACTGGGGAAAAAAATGGCCCATTTGGAATACATCCCTCTACTTATTTCAGATAGGATTTATAAAATTAACCTGCCTCCAAAAGAAATGTCACTTCATTAGTGAGGTGGCTGGTTATATAGAATTGAATAAGCAAATAAGTAAAATGTGTGGAATACAATAAAACCGTAGTATGTCGGTATTCTGTCCAATATTTTCATATTTTTAACAGAATCCGGAATAACCTTGAAAGATTTAGCTCAGTAGGAAACTGCAAATCTATTACTGATAGGTATTCTCCTTTCAGCAATTTAGTATATCCAAAATGGAAACATACAGAACAGAATACCATTTCTAGCACTTTTATAGGCAATAATATACTGTATTGTAGGGAAGTTCAAGAAAGAAAGGAAAGAGAAGGGAAGGAAAGGGAAGGAAGGGAGGAAGGGAGGAAGGAAGGAGATAGGAAAGGAAGGAAGGAAGAAAGGGAGGGAGGAAGGAAGGAAGGAAGGAAGGAAGGAAGGAAGGAAGGAAGGAAGGAAGGAAGGAAGGAAGGAAGGAAGGAAGGAAGATCGGACGGTGACTGTTCTTCCTGAACCTAATGCTCACTACTTTTTTTGTTTATAATTTGCCTACAGAAACCTAACTTTTAAGAAAGCCTGAGCATCTGCAGAGGATGCGTTTTTCAACTACCGTGATTAAGTGGCAAACTCTGTCCACACCTAGGTACAATATGGATCGGCGAAACAGAACCCACCAGTTTTTCTAGATGTTTCTTTCAGTTCCTCCATTGGGTAACCACCCTTGATGTACTCATGCTGCCATTTTTAGTAAATTATGACCTGCCTCAATTAGCCTTCTGTTCTGGATGAAACAATCCATCAGAGTTTAGCATCAATGTGCTAGAATCAGCCACAATATCAGTGAATGTGGGAAACGGTCATCAGTCCCTTTTTTTTCATTGCTGTTGTAACTTCGAACGGGTCACTAAACGAACTGTTGTAAGTCAAGGGCTATCTCTATTGGCAATTGGATTTACCCTTGTATTGTTAAATTTCATCGCTTGTTCTTCTAAACGTATACAACTAGTTTAAAAAAATGAATGACCTTCGGTTGCTGGAATTGGGTCTGTCTGGTTTAATGAAGAGAAGGACGAGGGGGGACATGATAGCAGTCTTCCAGTATCTCAGGGGCTGCCCCAAAGAAGAGGGAGTCAAGCTATTCTCAAAGCGCCTGAAGGCAGGACAAGAAGCAACGGATGGAAACTCATCAAGGAGAGAAGCAACCTGGAACTAAAGAGGAATTTCCTGACAGTCAGAACAATTAACCAGTGGAACAACCTGCCTCCAGAAACTGTGAATGCTCCAATACTGGAAGTTTTTAAGAAGAGACTGGACAGTCTGAAATGGTATAGGG